TCTTGGCATTCGGCTTATATGATCGTTCCATTCTACTCTTCTGTTTCTTACCCAGTCCTTGATGTTCTCCATCTCGCATCTACGTCGTATATTTGTACTTACAGCTCTGTCCCATAGTGTTTTACTATTAACTTTTTTCAGTGCTTTGTTTGAAGTGTTTTCATCTCTGCTGTTTCTAACATCCTTTTTGTCCTTTCTGTGTCAGGTTATGTTTCTGCCGCGTATGTCATTATTGGTCTTACGACGATTTTGTAAATTCTGCCTTTCTTTTTTTTTTCTCGATATTTTTATTTCTTCAAATTGTTTTATTCAGCCAACCCACGGCTTAATTTGCTCTATCCGCTTGATCTTCTATTTCTGTTTTTAGCTTTCCGTAGCTAAATAATGTGATGTCTAAATATTTAAACTCCATCACTTGTTCTATTATCTGATCTTCCAGCTCCAATTTACACCTTTTTGCTGTTATAACCAAACATTTTGGCTTTTTGGGAAAATCAACATGTTAAATTTTCTGACGCTAAATTAAATTGGTGAGAGGATTGCGTCGAATGCATAGCAGATTATTTTAAGCTGTTTTTCTCCCATTTAGTATCCTTTTTTAGTTCTCACTTTTTTATTTTATTTATAATCAGGTTGAACAATAGAGAACTCAGGGAATTTTCCTGTCCTATAGCTGTCAGCTTTAATAGAGTCAGTTAGTTCTTGTTCTACTTTTAATTTTATTTGGTATATATTTTTGATTTCGGTCTCATTCTCCATATTTGTTTCCATCAATTGGGACGAAATACTGCCAAGCATGGCAGTGCGGCCTTACTGTGCTAAGGCTATAATCGTCCAAAGTTCTCCAGCTTCCTGAGGCATCGTTTAAGGCAGCATTTTCTCCCTTGTGTCATGCATCCCTTGGCAAGATGGTGTTACCACGGGATTAGGGAGCGCAGTAGTTAGTTGCATAACAACGAATCTTACGAACTGAGTGTGATGAGTGTATTTTTTGTGTATGTGTGTCTGTGCCATGTAAAATTGTTAAATCTACAGTAATGACATAGCTGCCGCTCCTATGCCAAGTTCTGAGTTAACCAAGGTTGTTTATTTGGTTGGACCTTATTCATACCTGTCCTATTTTTTACACAGGACGTCAACTATTAGCTATTGGGACGTGCCATGTCGGGATTGAGAACATCCTTATGCATCCGCACATATACAAATACAATCACGGCAGAGCGATATGGTATATTGTGTTATCTCGCTTTTTCTATTATCTGTCTTCCTTTTCCCCGGTAAGAATTCGCATTGTTCTTCGGCTATCTCTGAGAGTAGAAAGTTCTTTAGCTGTTGATTGATTATTTATAGCAGGATTTACTTGCATGTGGAATAAGGGAAATGATTTTATCATAGCTACATATGGTGACTGATCCTTTCTTATGGATGGAGATAAACATTGATTCGCACCAATCATCAGGTCATTCACCTGCGACCCATATCTAGTATTTATATCTACAGTGGGTGATCAAATTATTATGATCACTTCAAAAAACTTTATATTTTACTGTTTAATAAAGAATAAAACTACATATGAGTGTCTAATAATGTGAATATAATATAAAAATAGATCATAAACACGTTCTTTTACAAAATTTTAAAATATTTTTTTCTTTGACCTTAAATAACATTTTTTTTAATATTTTGTGTGACCTCCTTTAGCTTTGATGAAAGCTTTGGTCCTCCTTGGCATGCTTTGAATGTTTCTCAGGCAGTTTTCTTTTATTTTATCGTTTCTGTGCCAGGTGGCAATGAGTCTCTCAATTAACTGCTGCTTATTTGTGACAATTTCCTGGGCAACCCCCCTCTTCATAAGCTCCCATAGATTTTCGATCGGATTGAGGTCTGGGGAATTACCTGGCCACTTCAGTACATTAATTTTCTTTTTTACCAGGTACGATGTTACTCTTTTTGCCTTATGGCACGGTGCTGAATCGTGCATAAAGGTAAAATCCTCCGATTCGCCAAACCAGTCTTTGATTTGTGGCATGAGTTTTTTTTCCAGAACTTCAATATACTGATGTTGATTCATCATTCCATTTACAATGTACAGCCTCCCTGTGCCCTTACTGCTGATCACAAACCATACCATAATCTTGAGAGGATGCTTTTCTCGCTCCACTATGCAATCCTTATATTTTTCACACACTCGCCTTCGGACGAAGGCCGACTTATCCATGAGTATCCCCACTGTAGACTCATCGGAGAAACAAACCTGTGAATAAAAAAAACTATTAGATATTTTTTAGGATAAAAACAGTGGTTATAGTGATTTAAACTTTAGTAGTGACGTAATTTACCTTATTCCAATCCTCAATTGTCCAATTTTGGTGTTCTTTGGCCCATTCCAGTCTCTTTTTTCATCATTACGATGGTCAACTTTGGTTTTTTGGCAAGGCGACATGATTTAAAACCTTGCTCAGTAAGCCTTCTGCGGACTGTCATGTCAGAAACTGGCATACCAGCTTCACGAATAAGTCCCGTGAGGATTCTTCTTGGCTTCTTTCTATTGTTTACGAATATATCCCTCATTTTTCTTTCGTCTCTGGGTGTAGTGACACGCTTTCGACCACATTTTTGGGCACGCTGGTGAATCAGGGGTTTGTTGGTTTCAATTTTTTTCTTGATATTGCTCACTGTTGCTTGCGCTACTTGGCATTGTTGAGCTATCTGACGTTGGGAGAGCTTTGTATTCAATAAAAGTGTCTTTATTTCCACCATTTTAGACACAGGGACGTCTTTAGCCTTACCCATTATGATTTTCTTCTCAAAAATCGAAATGTTTTGAAAATGTCTTTAAAATTAAAACTGATATTCTTTTTTCACTCACAATCACCACTTATAAATTAATAAAACATACTACAAAGATAAAACGATACTAATCTTTCAAAAACAATACAAAAACGTACAAATTCAGTTGTAAACTCCAAACGTAAATTCACCACAATGTGTATGTTGTCACGTAATTTGACACAAATGACAGTTCTAGAGCGGAAAACGTCAAAAAAGTAAGGTAAAAATATCAGCATATAATTTTATTATAAAATTTCTGAACAAATATGAAAAACTTAAATTTTTGTGACTGATCATAATAATTTGATCACCCACTGTATGTCAATCTCGCCCAGGGCTTTCAGAGTCTCTGCTGATATGCCATTTTATCTCTGTGTTTTTTTTTTGTTTCTTAGTTGGTTGAACGCCTTCTCTACTTCTGCTCGTAAAATGATCGGTTCTGTGTCTTTTATTGCATGTTTCTTGTGTTTTAAGAGATGCATCATTTGAAGTGTCTTTGTATATAAAAAAAAGAGGTTAGTCTTCGTAAGTGGGTATATTTATTTAAAAAACCCTTAAAAGGGGTACATGAAAAAACAAACGTTTTCGGACTAAATAGTCCATTATCAGGTTTAAATTTTAAAATTGCTAGGCTAAAATGCCTGAGCCACCAAAATACATGGGTAAAAACCCTTTAAATTACATATAGTTGTAAAAGATTATACATCATGTTGTTAAAAAACTGTCATCATCCAGCCTCAAGAGTCCACTGCTGAACATAGGCCTCTTCCTCATGTTTCCAACCCCGTCTATCTTGCGCCGCTCTTATCCAGTTTTTATTGAGTCTTCTTAAATCGTCAGTCCATCTTGTAGGTGGTCGACCAACGCTTCTCTTGTCTTCCCTTGGCCTCCATTCCAATAACCTATTTGTCCATCGCCCATCTGTCATTCTGGCTATGTGTCCTGCCCATCTCCATTTTATTCTGGCTATCTTCTCGATGATGTCAGTCACTCCGGTTCTTCTCCTGATGTCTTCGTTTGTTATTCTGTCTCGGAGAGTTATTCCTAACATGGACCGCTCCATTCTTCTCTGCGTGACTCTCAGTTTGGTAGCTGCTGCTTTTGTTAAGGTAAGTGTTTCTGCTCCGTACGTCAAGACTGGGAGGACGCACTGATCAAATACCTTTCTCTTTAGGCATGTGGGCAGCTCACTTTTAAAAGTTTCTCTCAGTTTTCCAAATGTTGCCCACCCAAGGCCGACTCTTCTCTTCAGTTCATGAGTCTGGTTATCTCTGCCAATCATAATTTCATGTACCAGGTAAAAAACTGTGATGTTCAGTATTAAATTAAATATGACTTCAGGTAACATACATGGCTGAAGTGAGTTCCAGAGCCGGAGAGTAAACCTCTACACACGGAGAACAGCTAGAAACTAAGTCCTAAACTAACTCAGTTTCCAGCTGTTCTCCGTGTGTAGAGGTTTACTCTCCGGCTCTGGAACTCACTTCACCCATGTATGTTACCTGAAGTCATATTTAATTTAATACTGAACATCACAGTTTTTTAACAACATGATGTATAATCTTTTACAACTATATGTAATTTAAAGGGTTTTTACCCATGCATTTTGGTGGCTCAGGCATTTTAACCTAGCAATTTTAAAATTTAAACCTGATGATGGACTGTTTAGTCCGAAAACGTTTGTTTTTTTTTATGTAGCCCTTTTAAGGGTTTTTTTAAATAAATATACCCACTTACGAAGACTAATCTCTTTTTTGTGATACGTGGTATACAGCCAGCTACAGGAATTGTTTTCCTTGTGGATTTTGTCTTTGTATAATTATGATCAATAGTTTCTCCAGATTTCTGTAATATTCTGTATGTCAGTTTTTACTTCTTCGGTATGCTCTTGAATGGCTTGAGCTCTCGGGTCAAATATTTAACTTAACAATGCTTACTAACTCAAGTTAGTTGATATGTATTACACATTATATACTTTTTTTTTTGTTTCCAAGGAAATAATAAAATATAGATGCAACAAAAACACAATTTCAGAAGAGAATGTAGTTAGCTTCTCAAATATTTGTATATTTTATCCTGTTTTCATATGTAACACTATTTGCTCCTGTTTTTCTATCATTGCGATTTAATACTAATAGTTGCTTTTGGCCCATAAATAAAACGTACAATAAACTATAAACAATTTATTTAACAATACGATTAAAAAAAACTATTTTTTTAAATTCTGCAATTTTGGAGCGGAAAGTTTCACTTTTCCCGGTATGTTTCTAGCAAGTTGTTCATCTTTGACAGCTTTAAGTATATCCTTCTCCCTTTGGGTTATCGAACGATCCTTTAGGAACATAGCTACAGCTGTACGAGCGGCTTTTCCTCGTTTCGCCGTACCTGGTGTTAATTTGACTTTGAACCTTAAAAAAACAGAAATTTTACTAAATAATCACAAACATTAAAATTTAAACTAAACGTTGAAACACTTTTTTTGGTACAATTATACAATTAAAATATTACAAAATTACAAATATTATAATTATTAAAATGTACAACCATTTGTAATAGTTATCTCCATCTCTAGTTGAAGTGGAAATGTGTTGTGAAAAAGTGGACAAGATTCTAACCCGAAAACAAATGTCAAGTTGCTGGCATTTGCAGTAGAATGTGTATCTTTCATAGTTGTCAATTGATTTTAATCAATTTCATAATTTAATTTGAAATGCGCCCTAAAGTGAATTACAAAATATTTTTTAATATTAACTTTTTTCTAACAACAACTCTGTGCCAGTGTGTTTAGTCATTTTTTAATTTTAATCTACACTTTACTGTTATAAGTTTTTTTTACGTGCAATGTGACGGGTTTTTATAGAGCTTTGTAGTAGTTTTTATTCATTCTTTCACTTTTAAACAAAACTTTTTCTCATTGTTATACATGAATGCTACTACATAGAAACATGTAAGCTACTATTTTAACACCAACATTTTAATATTTTGACCACGGTTGCCAAGAGAATGGTGTGTTTGTTTTACACCTTATTATTCTTCACTCACCATTCATTGAACTAATGAAGCTTGTAAATTCAATAAGCGAAACGTCTTCAAATATAGGAACTGAACTGTGATTTCCTTTTATTATTTCCCTTTGACCGATATCCTCGTGACCAAATTTTTTTTTTTTTTTTTTTGGAACTTACTCATTGAATAATTGTTTGACGGTCGTACTCCTATATACAGTGTCAATTTCAAAACTTATAATGGGCTATATCTCACGAACAAAAGCTGGTACTGAAAAATACTTATCCTAGAAACAGTTTCTATGATAGTAAGGGGGAAATAAATGACATGAAAGAGAACTCACCCCCATCGACCCCCTAGGCCCCACTCACCACAATAAAAAAAGTTTAAATTGCAAACCCCTACTTGCAATAAATCATTGAAAAGACTATAAAAATGCTATCCAATGGTGAAATAATAATTATACAGGGTGAAGCAATAATTGTGAAACTTTGGCTTAAATGGAAAATTTAATGAAGTTTTTGTTGATTCTGTTGATGACCCTGTATATTTATTGTTTAATAATTATACGGGTTGTTAATACCAGCCGGCATATTATGACTTTTGTATTTGTAATGCTATCTCCCGGACTATTAGTTTTAATAATAAGTGCCCGTCTGAATTTTTTTTTTGTTAAATAAAAACTTAATTTGTCATTTTTGCAAAACAAGTTGAAAACATCTGTTTTTTGAGTTCTGTCAGATTCAATAATTTTTGGTTTATTTAAGAATTTTAAACGTCATCAGTTTTCATCATTTGTACGATCGGTACTGTCATTCAGCTGTAGTTGTCACGATGGTTTACAGTATACCTGAACGCGTGGATATACGCGTAATTTTCATATTTGCCTCCCAGAACCAGTGTTACTACGATTAGATTAAAAATATAATATACATACTTATAGTTTGATAGAGTATTGTAAGGTGCTATGACAGGAACTGCAAATAATAATTCATCCTCCGCAACAGGTACTCCAGTTAGAGCATCGATCATGTCTGTATCAGCTTGAACTACCGTTTCGTCGTCATCTATATCTTCATTGGGTTCCTTCGGTGTGAAGTTTTTAGGTCCTCTTTGAGCCTGTTTCTTAATCTTTTCTATAGCTTCTTTATTTTTCTTCGTTTTCTTTGTTTCTTTAATATCTTTGCCCATACCTGAAGACTAAATCATCTTAATGAGTAACATATTTTTATATTTATCATAGAAAATATTCAATAAATTCTCAGAGATCTGATAAGTAACCTTGACATAAAAAAATAAACTCAACAAAATCAAATCAATTTTCACTTCATCCTCCCACCTTTTCAGTGGCATTCCTTTTGATCGTGTGATTGATTAGTGTGAGGAAGCTCAGTAGGTCTGTCATAGTAAAAATTACAAAACAAAGTTATTGACAAAAATTGTAGGCAGCTTAAACTTCTTGTGGGCAGTTACAATCTTACTTATACACGTAATTAAAATGGTTAAAAAAAAAACAAAAACAATTTAACTTTGGTTTAGTGTGTGCAAATGACAGTTAGAAATTGTTGGTATTATTTCCAAAGCTGTCAAAAGCAAATTTTTATCTAATGTAAACCAACCTAAACTACTTCGAATAAACAATTATTTATTATCTGTCATAAAAAACATAAGGCATTATTTGTCATTATCGAATTACTAATATGCACAAGGAATCTACGTTCCTGTAGTTGGCTGTATACCATATATTAAAAAAATTTATTAAAATCCTTTGTATAGTAGCCTCGTATTTCCGTGAGACTGTGCAAAAATATATGTATCTGTAATAAAATCATTCAACAAAAAGGTACTCTACCAGGAGTCTGTAAAATTATCAATGACTCAGACGTATAATAATACAAAGTTTCCAGATTCCACTCGATATTAACATTCAGACGTGCCTGGTATAATCTTTTAAAATATGAACCAGATATGAACAATCAACCAATTAACTTTTCATCGAACTTATGACAAGTCCACGTGGACTAACGGCCAATGAAAACATCGGATATCGCTGTTATGACAAATCATAATGCATTATCTTTTGTCGGTAGACTTATTCATACTTGGGGTAAGATTATATCAGTATTTTACTGAGCTTACGGAGTCATAAAATAAGGGATCAGGTTTCGACCGTCCAGTACCGAAGGCACGGGACGGGGAAAACTTAGGTAGGCAAATTTTTATAATATTTTTAGTAAATCATAAAAGAGACAAGAATATTTTTAGTAAAATCATAACTGCTACAGCGTTCAGTTAAATTCAAATTTCAAATAGTGAACCGCAAGTTAGTTTGGTAGTGACTTTTTTCAGTGTTCTTTATACGGAAAACATTTTACATTTTACGTTTTTTACTTTTTTTGATACGTTTTTACGTGATTATGTTTTTATACGTTTGATAATTTTAAAATATTGCGTCTGTGGTGCGATAATAATTATGTAGCTGAAGAGACAATGGAACCCTCGAATCGATTGGAAGATTTACAAAGGCGTGTAGTAAAACGTAAGCGACATTTTCAAAACCTTTCTGATGATGCCAAATGCATGCTAAAAAATGTTTATGAAGGACTGTGTGCTGAATTGTCTAATTCAGAGACAATTACAGAAACATGTTTTTTAACCAGAGTGCCCAAAGCAACCCACTACAAAATTATAGGAGAAACATCTTCTAGACAGAAGAGAAAGGATTGTGGCAAATTCAGAAAAATAGAACCGCACTTAATTGAATCTATAACTAGAACAATATACCAAATGTATGCGGCCAATATTTTTCCAACTATTGAAAGCCTTCGAAGTGAATTAGTTCGAAAGTGCATTCTCTCGTGTTCAGCAACAACACTTCGATTATTTCTTAAAGCCAATAATTTTAAGTACAAAACTATAGACAAGAGACAGACATCAATGGAAAGTACTAGAATAATTTCTTTAAGAAACAATTATATCAGACAGATAACTGAGTATCGAAAAATGAAACGAAATATTGTTTATTTAGATGAGACCTGGTATGATACTCATGACACCGTGAAAAAAAGTTGGATAAATAATAACAAAAAGTGTTTCAACTCAGTACCGCCCAATAAAAGGAAGAGAATTATAATTTTACACTGCGGTGGAGAAAATGGATGGGTCGACGATGCATTATTAATATCTGCAAAACAAATTAAAAACGCGTCTCTGGATTATCATGACGATATGGAAAGTTCAATTTTTGAATCATGGTTTGAAAAATGTCTTCTTCCGAAATTACTTAAAGATAGTGTGATTATCATGGACAACGCATCACATCATTCAAGATTAATGAAAAAAACTTCAAATAATAGTTGGAATAAAATCAGGATTTTTTATTCACGGAAGATTTGTATTTTGAGACATCTTATATTAAAAAGCAATTGCTTGAGGTTGTTCATAGTAAATAGTACGAAAAGGAATATGTTGTTGACAACTGTGCTCGTAGTAACGGGCATACTGTGTTTAGACTTCCTCCTTATTATTGTACATTGAACCCAATAGAGTTAATATGGGCTCAACTTAAAGGAAATATAATGAGAAGAAACGTTGCTCCAAAATTTTTTGTCTACTGTTCTCCAGTTAATTAAAAGAGAAGTCACAAAAATTACAGCAACCAACTGGAAAAATGTAATAAAAATAAAACATGTGATCGGAGTGGAAAATAACTATGTTAAATATTTACCAGCATTAACCAAATTACATATAAATTTAGATGATACGAGTGATACTAGTGATAACAGCGATTCTGAGTAGATAGTAAGTACTTATTAGGTGTTAGTTGAAACCTTTATTTCTATTTTAATTGTAGATATTCTCATTTTGCTTATATATCTTTGAAAACAGGGTATAAACACACTTCTTGATAGGACAAAAATTATTAATGTTTTAGGGGAGGATGTCAACTGAAACTGTCACTGTCATTCTCGCTGAATAACTACTATTATTAACAATGTTTTATATAGATATTATTATTTTACAATAAGTTCTGTTCAGTCGAGTCGTTTAGTGTTATCACTCCCAAGATATATCACAGAAGTTAAAAACACCGATATTTTTTATTTAAACTTTATAGAAAATGAAACTTTTTGGTAAATAAAATTAAATAAAAGTAAAAACTTTTATTTAATTTAAAATTAGATATCTACGCTACTGTTCTACTACTAAGTATTACATTAAAGGAGTGGTAACTCTAACAGCGTTGCCATTTTACTAGTATTTTGCTTGTTTTGGTCTCTGTAAATTTTCTCACGAAATTACGTGCCGACTATAAAAGGTATATATTTAAAAACCCAAACGGGCTATGTTAGACAAAACGTTTTCGGAATCCATATTCCATCATCAGTGTCTAGGAGTACATGAATGTAGCCACTAAATATATGGGTAAAAACCCGTTAACAAATAATTAGTTATATTCGTTTTACAGTACATTTGTTTTACAGTATTTCTTATAAAATGTTATGATGTTAAAGTTACCGTTGGATTAGGTAACATGGCGCCATGTTACCTAATCCAACGGTAACTTTAACATCTTAATATTTTATAAGAAATACTGTAAACCAAATGTACTGTAAAACGAATATAACTAATTATTTGTTAACGGGTTTTTACCCATATATTTAGTGGCTACATTCATGTACTCCTAGACACTGATGATGGAATACGGATTCCGAAAACGTTTTGTCTAACATAGCCCGTTTGGGTTTTTAAATATATACCTTTTACAAAGCATTTTAATAATTTTTTGAATTACTAATAGTCACAATAAATAAAAAATCATTACCTGCAAAATTTCCATTCGCAGCTTTCGTTCTTCGTCGTCTTGATCTTTATATTTTTCCTTAATTTTCTTTAATTTTCCCTTCTGGCCCCTCTTAACTTGTTTATTATCTGCTTTCGTGTCAACTAAAACTTGCTTATCCACATTACAGTTCACTTTATTTTTCTTGCAACTTACCTTTTTCCTCTTTTTGCGGTTTCTTATTTTTTGATTCGCTATTACCTCTACTTCTCGTTTGGTTTTGTTTTATCACAACTGGTTTGTTATCACCCAAGTACACAATATTCTCTTCGTTTGGCTCTTCTTCCATATTTCTGGATGTCTGTGTGATCAGATTCCTAAAAAAAAAACAAAAATAATAAATAATAAATAAACGATATCACCAAAAAAATATCAGCCTCATAAAAATGACGTTGCTGGATTCAAAAGCCGCGGTTAGAGTAGATGGAGAACTATCTTCCCTGTTTGACATCAACGTGGGGGGTGAAATAGGGAGACGCACTTTCAACCATGCTGTTCAACCTAGTTGTTGAAGCAGTCATCAGAAAAACCAATGTAACCGGCCATATAAACACCAAAACATACAAATTACTGCATATTCAGGCGATGTCGCCATTATTAGTAGAAGCAAGACACGACTAATGGAAACGTTCAAGGAAATTGATCCTAAAGCATAAAAAAGAGGGATTAAAATAAACGAAACAATGACCATCAAAAGAACACCTGAGAATGAAAATAATATGGCAATAGACAACTATACTATTGAACGTGTGGATGCCTTCACATATCTGGGCACAGAATTCAACCAGAAGAATTCCGTAAGTAGCACGGATTGAATGCACGTATTTCCAGTGGAAATCGTACATACTATGCTAATAAAAGATTGATCGAAGTTATTAGACAAAAGAACCAAAATGACTATCTACAGAACTTTGACTAGACCCGCAGTACCTATGGTTGTGAAACCTGGGTAATGACGAAAAACGAGGAAGCCACTCGGGAGATTCAAGAGAAAGATACTGAGAAAAGTATATGGCCCTGTGCAAGAGAAAGACGGGGCACATGGAGGAATGTGGAGAATGAAGGATATGACATTGTAAGATTTGTGAAAAGGCAAAGACTGTCATGGCTGAGACATGTTCAGTGACAAGAAGACACGAAAACGACAAAGAAGATGTTACAGTGGAAGCCGGTAGGAAGGCTTAAAAAAAGAAGACCCAGGACGAGATGGTTGGATGACGTGGAAGACGATCTGAAAACTATAAATATAAGACATTGGAGGAGAAGGGGCCAAGAGAGATCTGAATGGAAGGACATAGCCAGACAGGCAAAGACCCATCCAGGGTTATGATGCCAAAAGAAGAAGAATTTATTTTCTTTACTTTGAACGAGTTGGAACAGTGCGATTTACTCTGTACTTATCTGTTTTCTTTTAAGAGAAACATGTTACTCTGCAAAGTATAAATAATGAATAAAGGGGTAAAGAAGTGGTATTTATTGGCAAAAGATCTGTTAACATTTTGTTAAAAGAATTTGGATTTAAATACAAAAAGGACATTTTCCTGGCAAGACAAGTTAAAAGTGGACGTAAACTAGAATGGCATCGTAGATGGTAATCGTTTTATACTTCAAAAAGTAGAAATCCTAAGGTTTCTAGGTGTTCGAAATCTAAATTAAGATTTTTGAATAAATCTGTGCCTTCTACGATTTTCAAGGCAAACATACGGTGAATTTGACCAACATGAGGAACCTAAAATTGCATTCCCAGACATATCGATTCATCTAGACAAGAACCTTTCTTGAACTGGTTTCTTATACTCAAAATATGAGTAAATAAAGATATAGAAAAGACGGTTAAGATTTGATTTCAACAAAGTGTCTCTATACGTATTTCGTCCTATCAGGACTCATCAGAACGACTGGGTAGATGCCCTGACACGTTTATGAGAGAAACCACATGCAAATTGTAGATATAGAGGAAAAATGACTTCGTTATTTATTTCTGAAAGAGAACAGTGCAAATAAATGGAGATTTTCTGAGAAACTGTTATGAAGGCACAATAAATCAACAAACAATATCGTTACAAATATATTCAAATTTATAAATAAATAAATATACTTTAACCTTACTTGTTTCCCGAAGAATGTTGAATTTTTATCTGCGTATCAGGAAATATAGAGCTTTCTTCATCATCTGAATCGGACGAAACCTTTTCGGATTTTTCAACATCTATTTCTTTTGATTCGGCTGATATCTGAATCTCTTCCTGCTTTGAATCTCTAAGCAACTCATCTTCTACGATAAAAAGTGATTTTAAAAATAAATTATCGGAAATAATCTTAATTTTGTGATAAATGAGCACAATTGATAACACAATATGTACACTACAATCAGAATACTAAAAAACGTGAACATGGATTCCAAATGGATTCCAAATCCTTTCGAACCCAGTCGATCTGGCGCGTTGGACGAGATTGTCAATCCTTCCTCTGGCTGCGGCAATCTGGTGCGTTGAACGATATTGGCGTATTCTTTCTATCTGGTGCGTTGAATTAGATAGACATCCTTATCCCTGTCCAAGTACTCGTTCTGCGTTGAGGTACGAGTACGACCCCAATTCCTCGATCGCCGTATCTTAGTTTACCATATCGAATATCGTCACACCCATCTACCGAAATAAATAAACAGTACGTCTTTGTACTCAAACATTGTATTCAGTAGACACTTAACGATAATTACTTTTTCATTTGTATATGTAAATTCGAAATAAATGCCTATACAAACGAATCCTGTTTCTCTGGCTGAATTATACTATCCGACCCCTCAAGTTAAAGCTATTATGTTACTAAACACAACGTATAGATCCTGACCACAATCATTAGAAACCAACTAAATTATTACAAAGAAAAAAATAAAGGAATGTTCATCGACTTCCAACAGGCCTTCGAGAGCATATTTATATATTCGGAAATTAAAGGGAAGGAAATACCAGCAAAGTTATTAAGGCTGACTAGAATGACAAGAGTTAAAACAACCGAAGGAGATACAAACGACACCAGCATAGAACGTGGCGTAAGACAAGCCAATGGCGCGTATGATTTAATATCATGTTAGAAGGATATAATCGAGACACAGAGCTGCAAAAAAGGGCAATTATTCAAAGTTCAACACAGATCACAGGATACGCGAACGATCTAGCATTGATAGCGCATGACAAACAAAAATAGAAGAATAAGTCCCAACGTTAATAAGAGAAGCAAAGAACAGAAGATTAATAATCAATCAGAATAAAACAAAATACTTAATAGAGACTAGGTAAATAGACCAACCGAAATAATAATAATAGGTTAAAATAAATTCCAGGGGGTCGAATACTTTAAGTACTCGGTGGTGTTAGTGGACGGCGAAAATGGAAGGAGTGCAAAAGTAAGCGAACAAATTAAAGCGGGAAACGGGGTGTACTGGAAATATAATCGACTACTTAAAAACAAAAACCTGAACAAAAAAAAATAAATAAAAAATATATAGAGCAGCAATTAGACCGGTGATAGCATATGAAGCGGAAGTAATGTGTCCTACGAAAAAGGATGAAGAAAACTAACAATAATTGAAAGAAAAAATATGAGAAGAATACACGGCCCAATAAAGACAGAACAAGGAGAATATAGAAGACTGAACCATGAAATAATAAATATACGGAAAAACGGAAAATGGAAAAAATCAATCTACCAAGAAACTGTAAGCTGTAGAAAAAAATGATTTCGCGCGCCTGGCTAATTTCGAAACCTGATAGCGGACGAAGACCAAATATATGAAAGGTGGAGAGAATATTTCGAAGAGATGCTAAATGACGGAGTGACTACTGAAGAAAATTATAATGTTCCTAAACCTCAAATACTACTACAAGAAATACCAAAACCCACAAGAAAAGAAATAATAAAAGATATGAAAAATCAAAAAAGCTCCAGGGAGAGTGGCATTGTGGCAGAAAACTTAAAATATGGAGGAGAGACTTTAATAAACCAGCGTAGTGAGCTAATATTAGAAGTGTGGGATGTCAAAGAAATGCCTCAAAAACGGAATAATTTCGTTATAATTCCTATACACAAAAAGAGAGATAGAACTGAATGCGCTAGCTATAGAGGAATATCCTTATAAGAGGTAATATATAAAGTGCTTGCCATATTAATTAATCAACGATTAGAAATGTAAGTAGAGAAGAATCTAGCAGAATACCAGGGAGGATTTCGGAAAGTAAGATCAACAACCGATCAAATTTTTATGCTACAACTCCTGATCAATTGCTATGAATACAATATTTCAGCACAAGTAATTTTTTTTATTACAAAGTCGCCGACGATACAATAGACAACAACATATTAATAGAAGTGCTAAAAGAATTCCAAGTGCAAGAAAAAATAGTAAGATTGGTAAAAATGACAATTAGACAAACCATTTGTGCTGTAAATGCAACGGTACAGTCTCAGAAGAATTCGAAATAAAAAAAGGTGTTCGCCAAGGAGACTCTTTGTCTACATTGCTATTCAATATACTTTTAGAAAAAATTGTAAGGTTTAGTGGGATAAATAGGTCTGTCACTATTTTATACAAGGAGCACCAATTCTTAACATACGCTGATGATGTGGTTCTCGTTGCAAGAAATGGAAAAGAACTGGCAAATATAGCAAAAAGACTGATTCGGAAAAGCTCTAAAATGGGATTGAAAGTTAATATTAATAAATCGAAGTACATGGAAATCTTAAGCAAAAAAGGAATAAACACCAGGGGATCCCCTAAATTGGAGATGGAGGATGGATCAGTTGTAGAATTCGAGAAGGTGGATGAATATATGTACTTAGGTACTCTTATTGATCAGACATGTAAGGAAGAAACTGAAATCAACCTGAGACTGACCAAGAGCAATAGGTGTGCTGGAACCATGAGCAAAATAATTAAGACCAAAGATATATCTCGTAATACAAAAATAAGAGTATACAAAAATTAATCCCACAATGGTATACGCTGCCGAGACATGGACTATGAACAAAACCATACAGAACAGATTGCAAGCGTGTGAAAGAAAGATACTTCGCAGAATGTTTGGTTGAAAAGTAGTAGAGGGAGAATGGAGAAGACCAACGAATGCAGAAGTGTACCATTTGTATGCTAACCCTACAATAACAAAAGTGGTGAAAAAACGTAGACTAGAATGGCTCGGACATCTAGAAAGAATGCAAGGTAATAAGACTAGTCAAGAATATTGCTTGGAGAGTACCTGAGGGCAAAAAAAGAGAGGAAGACCAAGAAAAAAATGGAGAGATGTAGTGATGGAAGATGTCAGAGAGATGGGAATCAGAGATTGGAAGCTGTTAGCTAAGAACAGAAAACGATGGGAATTATCCATCCCGTAATGGGCCTAAAAGGCCTGTTAACGCTGTACATACATACATTTGTTGCACGTTTGAATTACCACTGAATTAAATATGTAATTGTTGGTTTTATCATTGTAATATATCCAATATAGCATTTCTGGTTCTAAACCTCCCTAATTTTTTCCATTACTACCATTAGCGTAGTCACCGTTGTCATCTAATAACTTGGTATGAGATGCAGATAAATAAATACATACCATCACTTTCATCTAATATTTCAACCTCGACTTCATCTTTGCTCATCTCACTATCTGCTACACTGAGTGCATCCTCTTCATTTGCAGTAAGCACTTTCCTCTCTCCTTTGTGTCTTTCGATGCTTCCATCTTCTAAGCGAAACAGAAAACTCAATCCAAGAATAAGATGAGCAGGTGGTAAAAAGTTCTTTTTGCCTCTAATCATGAAACTACCAGTGGTTAGGTATTCACCAGTTGGTGCTGTCTTGCTTACTTGATCGCCCCACACCCAGTATGCATTTGTAACTACTTTTGCTTCCCAGGCAACACTAAAACAAGGAGTATATTTAATTTACTCAAATATATTAATATGAACTATACAAAACTTTACTTATAATTTGGAGAAAATTATACAATATTTTATATTGTCGATAGTCTGTGTCGCAATTGCAGATGAAAAATCACAAAGATATGATTTCATACTCCAGAATATTAACCCAAATACATTGTATCATTATTTAGAAAATATGGTCGCGAATGCCTAAAACAGGAGACTAGATACAATTCAATATTGTAGGCTATAGTAGGCTTTGTTCCTTGCTTTAATTCGCTGAAATGAAAGCAATCAATATCCTCATTGATTTGGGAGTCCATAAAGTTAAACAACGCTACTCTTTACCGACTCAGATATACTTCAGTCTGTTTACTCAGTCTGCCAGTTATGCTATCTTCATTGCCATATATTAAATACTGTGCTGAATAATTTTCAAGCTGAAATAGATTCGTCCCAACTCGTGAACATAAAATGAAGATCGAGATAAAAACAAAAAGACATCCTTCAGAAGAAGGCTCAGAAATTAGTGAATATTCCGAGTTTATAAGTAAAAACATAACGAGAACGATCACAGAGACGAGTCCGGTCACGGATATTAAGCCTGAAGGTGTTCATAGAGAAACGTGTTCTGAGTCAATTATTAAAAAATGCCTATTTGGAGCGTCACAGGAGAGAGGCGAATATAAGAAACTAGATTATAGGAATGTCAAAAAAGTATTAAATATCGCAATATTCCCCAAACACCATCCTGATACTCAACTAGATCAGGCTCAAGCAAAACTTAATCATCAACAAACTGGAACAAACAGTGGATAAGACTCCTATCGGTACTCAGAATCAACTCTTACAGTTCCATAAAACGACGTTTAACGCAGGGACAATGTGGGTAAACTGTGCTAACGAATATACAAAAAATCGACTGTTCTAACCTACTAAGCTAAGTCCGCGAGGCCGAGAAGTATGATGCCATTTGTATTGAAGACTCTAGACAAACTGCTCGATAGGCACAGAAGGGTTGGGATATTGGTTGAAAGTCTGATACAATAAGAATAGTATTCGTATACAGCAGGATTCTCTATGGAAATGGCACTGAACCATCTCCTGCAGAGAGCGGAGTCCGTTCTGAAGACGTGATACTGGGTGCAATTCCGATATAGAAGGAACATTCGACTTTCTACGAAGTAATTATAAGGGCGAATCATATAAAAAAAATGGACGAAACAAGCTGCACATGGATAGACTACAAAGGTCAGCAAGAATAGCCAGAGGCTGTCCACTGGTCATGGCTGGACTGTTATCTAGAATTAGCAAAGGCAGGCATCATGTCCTAGGCTATGCGGGTAACCTGGTCATTTTAGCCCACGGCAAATATTTGCTACAGAAAGCCGAGCAAGCAATCCGGAAGCATTGGCAATTTCTTAGTTGTTGTGCAACTACATTTTCTGCGTAAATGGGATTTACTTTAACAAAGAAAAACACTATTAAACAAAATGATAAAAAATGTAAACCATCTCTTACCTGTAACATATAGCCATTATTCCCGCTTCATTTAACGTTTTTGGAGGTATTGGGTTACCAGTTGGATTCTTTATAATAACGCTACTGGCACCATGAATATCAGCGTGAACATAGGCATCTGTTGGTTTCATGTATCTGTAATATATAATAGACATTTCAACATACATGGGAAAATAAATTCTCTAAACTCGAAATCAAATAGGATTATCGGGTGTAACGCTTCAAAATCGGTTATTTTTTTAAATTTAACTTAATTCAAAAAACATTAAATTTTAAGCGAACCTGTATAAGATTTTAAAAGGACCAAGTCCATGTTGTGTCGTGAAGTTCATTTGCTCAGCGACCTACGACAACGTCGTCGAGGCTTGTCTCCTAAACTGCAAAGTCAATGGGAAGGTCCGTATGAAATTAAAAAGAGAATAAATACTGATGTAATATACCGAATTAAGAAGTTGCCTAAAGGTAAACCAAAAGTTGTTTACATAAATCGTCTTGCACCTTCTGCTGGCTCAAATGAAACAGAAGAAGCACGAACCCTTCAACATGAGATCAAAGATGACCGAAGACCAAGCTTTAAGGAATGTATATCAAACTAAGCAAAAAGAAAGAGTGCTGGATTCGGCGTGACCACAGAAGTTCAGCAGGATCTATTTAGTGTTCCGGAAAACGTCTCTCTAGCCCACTGTGTTGCCCAAGACCTGGAGATAGATAGATAGATAGTTTATTTGACTGTAAGTTACAAGTTTTACAGCAAGTCAAAACTAAAATTAGAAATATTAAACATTAAAGAAAAAAATGGAAACATTAAAAATATTTAAAACTTTAAAATACATAAAAACGTACAGTATAGACATATAATTAAAATAATATTAAATTTGGTTATGTTGTAGCTTAGGATTTCACAGATTCTTCTTCTTAAGGTTCCATCTTCTAACGAAGGTTGGATATCAACATGGCAATTCTTATTTTACTTACAGCAGCTCTAAATAGTTGGCTAGAGCTCAGACTAAACCATTCCCTTAGATTTCGTAGCCAGGAGGTTCGTCTTCTTCCTACATCTCTTTTACCTTTTATTTTGCCCTCTATAATCAAACGTAGTAGCCCATAACGAGGACCTCTTAATATATGACCGAAATATTCAAGTTTCCGCCTCTTAATTGTCTGTACAATTTCTTCCCTCTTATTAACCCTATCAAGGACTTCAATATTGGTAATTTTGTCTACCCATGCTATTCGTAGCATCCTTCGATAACACCAACGCTCAAAAGCTTCCAATTTCTTAATCTCCAGTTGTTTCAATGTCCATGCCTCAGATCCGTAGAGCAAAGTTGTAAAAATGTAGCAGCCCAATAACCTTATCCTTAGATCCATTCTTAGGTCTCTACTTCATAATAGATGTTTCATTTTTACAAATTTTGCCCTTGCTATTTCTATACGGCTTTTAATCTCTTGCGTTTGTTCTGCGTTTTGACTAACCAATGTTCCTAGATATTTGTATTTATCTACCCTTTCTATCTGGATATTATTAATATGGAGTGTCTCGTTGTCTTTTGGATGTTTTGTAATGACCATGAATTTTGTTTTCTTTAAGTTCATTTTAATACCATATATGGTACACTTTTCATTCAGCCGTTCCAGTATGTTTGTTAGACTTTTCAGAGTTGAAGTGAATATGACAGTATCATCGGCATATCTTATATTATTAATAATTTCACCATTTATTATCATTCCATCGTTACACTCTCCTAAAGCTTCTTGGAAAATGGCTTCGCTATATATATATTAAACAGCAGTGGTGACAATACACAGCCCTGTCTCACACCCCGAAGAATTTCTATTTCTTCCGACATTTGATTTTCAATTCTTATTTTGACTTTCTGGTTCCAGTAGAGGTTCGAGATTACTCTGATGTCGCGGCTATCGATGTTTTTCATTTTTAAAATATTAATTAGTTTATTGTGCTGTACCTTGTCAAATGCTTTTTCAAAATCAATAAAACATGTATACATGTCTTGGTTCATATCCAGATTTCTTTGCATGAGCACATTTATACCGAACAATGCTTCCCTGGTTCCCGTGCCGTTTCTAAAGCCTAACTGACTATCACTAATTTCATCATCCAGCTTTCTGTAAATTCTGTTGTGGACTATTCGTAGAAATACTTTCAAAACATGGCTCATTAATGCAATTGTACGGTGTTCTGAGCATTCTTTTGCATTTTGCTTTTGGGAATAATTACGAATGTGGATACTAACAACTCCTTTGGTAAAATGGTATTCACAGTTACCCTCACAAATAACCATTCACAGATACACTGGTAATATTCACCTAATGTATAAGGACACACGGTCACTTGGTACTCTTTGACCTGGTTTCTAAAAGCTGTAGTTGAATTAATGTTTTTAAAATTTTGAGGAAGTTAATTATACGAGTAAACCACAGACAGTAGATGACTTATTTAAAGGAATCTCGTCCGTATTCAATAAGAAGTTCGGTCGCTTGGATGAGTTAAAAAATCAGCAGCCTAAAGTTGGAAGAGTACTGCGATTAGAAGATGGTCCTCTATATTTGTTGTATATGATAACTAGGAAGACTTATACATACAGGGCGCGCTATGACGACATACGGTGTGTTCTAACTATTTGAAGCGTCTGCAATTATGACATCAAGAATTTGGTCTTACCAAAGATAGGCCGTGCACTAGAAAATCTGGATTGGAAAATTTTCGGAGACATGTTGGAAGTGATCTTCCGAGAAACTGGCGTACGAATTACTGTGTGATGCATTAACCCAAAGAAATCGTCCTTCAAAGACAGTAGACTGTTATTTCTCCCTAAGGGGTTCATGCAGAGTTGGAGAGTCCTGTAGATTCCGCCATCCTGGGTCTGCATATAGGGTTGCAGATCGGCCCGATCAGATCTAAGAGGGGAGCAGTGTAAGGAAAAAGCTAATTTCGACGTAACCCATATAACAGTTGCATCTCAGGGCAATGATGACACATAAACGATTGTTCCAGAGAAGCGATCGTTCATAAAAGGCGAATAGAAATATAATAGGAATATATATAGAAATACCATAAAAGGAATACTCCAGATAATTCTAGAATTAATGTAACTGATATATAGGAGTGCTGTTATTAAGAGTTTAGTTGATAAGATACTGTTGATACTGTAAGATGGTACTGTAAGCTTTAAAAATAAATAGATTTACATAAATGAGAACTGCTCGTTTTATTTAAACACCTTAAAATATAAAATATTTAATCGCGTAAAAATATTACTCACCTTTTAACTATAAGTTCATTTTGTTGTTGATCCCTACCACCGATAACGAGATAATTTTCAGAACTGATGAACCAGAAGAACTTTTCAAACCAGTAAGTCTTTCGCGCCTTATTAATGTTGATTATTGCTTGAACTTCTTTCAGAGTTTGTTTAGTTTTCTTTTCGGCAGATTTTAAAGCTTTGCTTTGTGACTCTATTGTTTTCTGTTGTTTCTTTGCCGCTGAACGTTTCTGATCATAATACCTAAAATTTTATTTATTATCTTAAAATATTATTAAATAAAATATAGAAGCGGATTCAAACGAAACGCAAAAATTCGAGATTTGTGAATGACAACAAGGGCAATACTGTATCGCGTACAGTACGGCTAAGATAAGGCAATGCTATTCTTATGGAGAATAAACGCCCAGGGTTGTCGGCCTTCGCTAGCTCTTGATTTCACTCCAGCGCGTCGCACAGAACCGGCTTGAATAAAATGCATCTCTCAGCAGTACGAATATAATATTTTATATTACCAGCTAATATATATATATATATATATATATATATATATATATATATATATACAGCGTTGGCAATTGGCAATAGGACGATTTTGAATTAAATGATATACAAGAAATTTGCAAGAAAATACTATTTTATTAACATCAAAATGAAGCTTATATTATGCCATTTACAATCTAATTAAGTATGGAAAATAATGTCATTAACGTAATGACCATCACATTGGATGCAGTTTTCGACTCTATAAAATCCTCCATAACACGCACTAACATCGCTCGATCAATAGTCAGGAATTCCTGGCGAATTGCGTTTAACTCGATCAAATTACGAGGCTTGCTAGCATATACACGACTCTTTAAATACTCACATAGAAAAAATCACAAATTGATAGGTCTGGAGACCGTGGAGGCCACGGCAAATCTCCGCTCAGGGCCAAGCAACCTCATGTAGAGTCGTACGTTGACATGTTACCAATTCCACTGGTAACTTTAACATCTCAACTTATAAAAACATATAATGTAACAGAAATTTAAACTAATAACATTTAACGGGTTTTTACCCAAATATTTCAGTGGCTCAAAACATGTACACCTAGTTACAAAAAATTATATTTTCAACTATTTTTCTGCGTCTGAATGTTGATTGAGCACCCACCCCATATTACTGTTATATGCATTGAAGGCTCTTGTGAGTATAAACGGCTGTGGAAGTTGAAATATAATGTCTTGCAAGCTTATTAGTAGTAGCAATTGCCTCAATGTTTGTTGTCAAAGCAGGTAGCATTGTTGAGAAAATTTAACTGGAAAATATCGATGTACCTCCCCTAGCTCTGATACAGGACGTATTAATGAGATATAATTCAAAGGATTTAGGATAAGGAATATTAGTCGTATTAAAATTATCTCTTTGAAGATATGGAGAGATGAGAAAGAAGATTGTTAGAATATTTGCACTTTAAACAGTATGACAATAACTAATTCTTCTTCTTAGGGTGCCTGTCCGTTTTGAACGTTGGCGATCATTCTGGATATGATGACTTTGTTGGTTGCTATACGAAATAGCTGTGTTGAGGACTTGCTATACCATGCTCTCAGGTTAGCAGGCCAGGATATTCTTCTTCGTCCTGGGGCCCTTTTTCCTTTAATTTTACCTTGTAAAATGCATTGAAGTAGCTCGTATTTGCCTTGAATTCTCATTATATGGTCCAAGTACTGCAGCTTACGGCCCTTCACGATGTTGACCAAATCCGCAGTTGTGTTCATTCTCCGCAGTACTTCTTCATTGGTACTTTGTCTGTCCATGGTATCTTCAAGATCCTTCTGTATGACCATAGCTCAAAAGACTGAAGTTTTGATAGAGTTTCCGCCTTTAATGTCCACGTTTCTACTCCGTACAGAAGCACTGAGTACATATAACATTTAAGGAGCCTTATTTTTGTTTCTAGGGTGAGGTCATGGCTCTTGAACACATAACTCATAGCCAATAACTAATACATTATTGAAACACATAGAAATCCACTTGTCACTTTACAGTCAAAATTAATCCCCTATGAAATTCAAAAGTATTAACTTTACTTATAGGGAACCCTAATACTATTTTAAACATAATTAATTTCTGATTTTGATAAAATAAAGTTATAAAATACAGAATGTTTCATATAAAATATTTAAATTGTTTACCTTTTCAACTATTACCTTTTTACTATTAATTTTCAACAAAATCTCTCTAAAATTGTATGCACGATCTAAATAATAGCAGAATAGATAGTGTGCTGTAAATATTATAGACCTGTAGATGATTACAGCGATGTGGAAGTGCAAATTTTCAGATTAAAAATCCGACTATTTTCTACGATAAGTCTAATGTCCGATCTACGTGAAAAACTCTGTATACAGCTCTGATATTCAAGAATAAGAGTAAAAAAGAGACAACTTACTTTCTTGCATTAGCAAACGCGGACAATGCTAAATCCACATCAACAACCATTGTGGGTAAGGCATCATTCTCAACGTCAGAATCATTACCATCAAACGGATCAGCATAAGGATCACACAATTGTAAAGTGATGTGGTTTATTTCAAGTTTCAGTTGTTTGATTTGCTTTGCTACGGGATCTCCTTTAGATGCAGCTTCTTTTACCATATCAGTAATATCTTCCCATGATAACTAATTACAAATATTGACACAAATTAAGAATAATTATGGCACCAGGACAGAAGATAAATATTTGTTAAATATGACAAAAGATAAACATTTGATCCACTAAAGTTTGAAAGCAAAAAATATAAAAAATATGCAATAAAAGCTATAAAACATACCTGATTTGCTAAGAGAGTCTGTATAGCTGTAATGGATTTATCTACTAATTCTTGATTTCTAGTAATCAATTCAGCTTTTTGCTTATCAACAGCTTGAGTTTGTTCCAAAGCTACCAATCTTTGATCGTGATCTTTCCTTACATTTTCCAATTTTTTCATTGCCTCTCGTTCCTGCTGAACAGCTTTAAGCTCAATTTTTTGACTTTCTAGTGAAGAGAAGAATTCATCTATTGCTTCGTTAAATGTTGGAAATTCTTTAAAAGGCATTTCTTTGTGCTGTTCAAAGAGCATTGGATGAAATTCTTGGTTTTCATAAAATTCGCCATTTGGGGTCGTTTCTGACTTAGCACGCTCAATTTTTTTCTGGAGAATATAACCCTGCAATGTACCAAATTTTAAAAACTATAGTAACTATATTTGAATAAATAGTATACTACCAAATTAATTTGATTACATACGTAATCATTTAAAAACATACAGATTCAAATACATACTGATTTTATGAAATTTAATAAAATTTACAAAGCAAACAATAAAAATAAATATATAAGCTATAACAAACGAGAAAAATATAAAAAATTATCAATATAGAAGTAGAAAATCGACAATGTGGTAGCCTGTCTATTATAGTTTTTAACATAGCACTAACTCAACACACATGTTAAAAGATTGCCACAGTACAGATGGCCTAGAAGATTACTGGAATGGACAAGTAAAAATATTAAGAGAATAAAATTTTTGATTCTAAGTGTATGTAGAGTGGGAGATAGAAAAAATTGAACGTATTAAACGAGCACTGAAAGACGTATGTGGCGCCCTTCATCATTTTTAGTGGCGAATTTAGATTTCTCGCCAAATTTCGTGTTGTTATCACAAGCCTGCCACGAAAATTTCGTGACAAAATATTCAAAAATAAAATTTTAACTTTGACACCCTTTATTTTGGTTATTATCAACTTTCGTACTAAAGTAAGTTAGTTTAAATCGGCCTATTTTAATCTCAGGAGTCTAAGATTAAGTTATGGCCATTCGTTACCAAACACCATGTACATTATATTAATATATATATATATATATATATATATATATATATATATATATATATATATATATATATATATATATATATATAAGATGGTGGTATTCTTGACTGTTGATTTAAATATAAGTTATAATTTTTGAGGATGCAGTCAGTTTATTTGGCCCACAAGACATAATATATATATATATATATATATATATATATATATATATATATATATATGGTAACCCAAATGTCAATAATAATCACGTTAAAATTAACCTAATTATAAATAGGTACATGTTTATTTAACACAAGTAACTTTGTCGTAACTTATTATGACATTTTTCGTATGCCATTGAAAGACCTACAATAGCAATGAACCGTCACTATTACTTCCAAGAATTTACTGCCTAGATTTCTGGATTCTGACTATAGACTAAAAGCATACAGTACTGCATAAATTCCAAATTATTATGTTAACTACTTTCTCTTGTTTTGTTAAAGTCATATCTGTAATTTCCAAATGACCTGTTATATTTATTTCTTGTTCACTACAAAGCTACTTTTATACCTTTTCAATTTACATAGAAATTTTTTAACGATTGTCACTTTTCTAATAGCCTGTTTACTTTCTCTTGTTTTACCTAGAATTCAAAAATTACTTGTTATATTTATTACTTGTTCACTTCAAAGCTACTTTTTATAGTTTTTCGTTTAACACAGAATTTTATTAAATGACCTATGTTTTGTTTAGTTTTGTTTGTCTTAATTTTTAGTGTAGGTAAATTAAATATCAAATTAGATGTAAAAGTAACTATTATAGACCAAACGAATTATTTTGCAAGTTACACATTGTATTGGTGCAAACACTGGAACAACAACGGTTTTCCTCAGTTTCAAGGTTACCAAATTCTGCACCACTCTCATTGGGTAGCTTTCTTATCTGTGAAAGCTAGATTTATACATTCACATTATACATTCCATCCTAAATTTTTCTTTTAGTCATTTTTAAATATCCCCAAAAAATTTGGTTAAACCCAATAATACGACGAGAGATATTGACGAAGATTGACTCTGAGGAATAGGGATTTGTTCTTTTACCAGATTTTCCAATAGATACTTAATAACAGCATCATTATATATGGACCCGGACATCCAATGATTGATATCGTCAGTGTTACAATCAAAATTAACTTAAATACTAAAATTTGCTTGTGATAGGAAATAAAAATTATTGTCCCGAAAAATTAAAAAGAAAATTGCCTGTACTTGCACATTGAGGAAAATAAGCTCAAGTTTGACAGAAATGAGGACATGCACTCACATGATACTAGGGGTAAATCAAATTTTCGACAACCTTTGTCTATATTAGGTGTATCCCAACATTCACCTGAATATATTGGAATAAAATGTTACAATAAAATAGTCAATATATTGACTCTCGGTAATTCTTCACATAAAGGTTTTCGCCAAACTGTGTATTCATTTTTAATGGACAATACATTCTACAGTGTTGATGGATTTTTAAATTTTTAACATTTTTGCAACAATAGTTCTAAATTTGTATTTGTAACTAGTATTTGTAACTTTTATTTCTTATTTATTTTATTGCGATCACTATTTTATTTTAATCATGTGTACTTTTGCTATATATTGTACTCTTTTGTACTAAAATTTTGACTAGTCCGATAAGATTTATACATTTTTTTTTTTTTTGTAAGAATTGTGTAAACTTTGTGGATGAATAAATTCTATCTATCTATGTTTATATAGTTAAAATATTACAAATACCCTACCTTAGTGTGGCCAACTTTGGAATTTTGAAAAATATTTTCGGCATCTAAAATCGTTTGAAAAACTTTATCAAGATTTTCAACTGGATCAAAATTCTTTCCAATTTTGGTAGAATTTGGAAAATTGTGTTGAACTAGGACATGTTCCAACAGAGCAGGACCATATTCTGAAATGTTAAACATAACATTAAACATAAAACGAAAGTATAAAACTTCTATATTGTAGATATATGTAAATGTACAAAATTACCCAAAAGCGTTATCAAAATCAGAATGTTTTCAGTCTTATCCTACTACTATCTTGAGTATAATATGTGTGGAGACACAAAATAACGCAGTATAAAAACCTGTGTTTTCATATTAAAACTTGAATTAAATTAAAAGGGAGTCTTAAAAATGTTGAAACATTAAAACTACTATATACCTACTATACAACTAATTGTAAGGTACTTAATCATTTCGTTAAAATTAATAGTACTAATTTAAGACATACATTATATTTATGTCATTTGTATAAATTTTAAACAAGACAAATATTTGGAGACCTGTCAAACTATTTGAAAATCTGTCTACCTCTCTTTCTCACCCTCTCTCCTTTCAGTCTTGACCCCTGGAGGGAGTATAGTGGTTGTTATAATTTAGTGTATGCTGTATGCCCGATGTCCATAGACTTATGTGTCTAGTTATTTTTATCACAGCATGCATCAGTCTTTTGCAACTTCCTGTAATCTGGTCGATCCTTGTTCACTAGAATTAGACTGTGGTATCCAAGAGGCATCCAAATTTATGATGGGACTATGACATAAGAAAACAATCTGATACGACATGGTCCAGAAAAGCGAATATTATACAATTGTAGGCAGAAATGAAGAACGACTATATAAGGGAGACTTTAGAAGAATACACTGACAATGATGATGATATATACATAGTATTGCCCAAATATCTTGTATCATCCTTTATGTACCTCATTTTGTAGATATCTATCACAAAGTATACTTACCTAAATTAGAAACAAGAACTTTCTTTAGCTGGTCTCCAGCTTTAGCCTTGGTTAAAAGTTCTAAAAGTTGCTCTTTAGAAATTACACCACCTTCTCTAGCCCTGCCTTGAGGATATTTTTCTTTTACTGCAAATTTTATTTTATCCCCTTCTACATGAGGTCTAAGAACATACAAAATTGTGTGTTCATAATCTGTCAGTAAAATATTACCCCTATCATATAATTCCAAAATGACATGATAGGCAGCTTCTCCAGTTCCAAATTGAAGGTCTACAATCCTGTCTGTTCCCAGTTGGGTTAGAGACTCCAAGCGTTTGTTTTTTAAATGCTTTCTCATCTAAAATTTGACAAACAAATTAAACTACCAGTGTAGTTCATCAAATTCAAATCAAATTGCTTTATTTATAATTGCAATGATGGTCATTTTACTTACTTTCATGCTGAAACCAGAGGGAGCAATATTTTTAGGCCATTCAAAATTAGTTAGATGAAAACGATTACCAGATTCAAGTAGTAAAACTTGTTTTTCTTCAGTCCTTTGTAGTCTTATTAAGTAAGTCTTGTTATCAATATCATATATATTATTAACTCTCATACCAATTAACCTGAAAAACAATGGAATTAACAGATATAGTACATATAATTTGATGTATACTTACTTTTGCAATTCTTCTGTAACACATACGATATCGTATGTGTTAAATCGAGTTTTCATGGTTGGTTAAGATGGACAGACAAAATTCAAAAAATAATTTTTAGTGTGGATAAAAAACCATTTCCAACAAGTTATTTATTTTGACTTTTGCACTTCTGCTGCTGACATGAGTGACATGACTTAACCTTAAACTTGACGTCTTGACAGAGAACTACCAAAGTTCTCTGGTCTTGACATGACAACTCGCCTACTATCAATGTTGCCAACTACTATTTTTTTCTTAAATCCTATTTTTAGTAAATCTTATCGATAATCGGTAAGATCTGTAACTTTAAATTCAAATCCTGTCTTTAGTAAAAGCTGCTAATTTTTTTTAGAAAAATAATAAATGGTTATGGGAACACATCATCATCATTACTTAGAGTAAATATGCAAAACAAGCGAAATAAAATGATATACCCCATGAAAGAAGAATATTAGGATTAGAAATAAAGTATTCTCCACCTAAGAAGACCGCTTTGCAATTAAATGTTGGTAACTTTATTACTATGACTATGATTACTATTTATAGTGGACCAAATAAGCGGCGATATATTTTACACATCGCTAAACTCGATGATTTTACACTAACTTTATAAATGGGTAACATTTTACTGCTCGGTGTTCAGAAGTGAATAAAAGTGTATACATGGCTACGATTTACGAGCTCACAGTTACGAATTTAAAAAGGCATCTTGAGGATAGAGAATTAGCTTCTACCGGAAAAAAGGCTGATTTAGTCCAACGACTAAAGAACGCTTTAGAGGAAGAGGGTTTAGATCCGGAAACTTATATATTTGAAAATGCTGTCATCTCGTCGATTTCGAAATTAGAGAACAAAGTTTCTGGCGATATTTTGAAAGTATCCGGCGACATCGCATCATTAGAAAACAAACTTTCTGGTGACATCGCATCATTAGAGAACAAAGTTTCTGGTGACATTTCGAAAGTTTCCGGCGACATCGCTTCTTTAGAAAATAAAGTTTCTAACGAGATTTCTTCTCTAGAAAGCAAAATTTCTGTTAACATCTCCTTGGAAATCTCTAAAGTCACTTCTGAGATGTCTGCTCTCGACGATAGAGTGTCTTCGTTAAAAAACCAAGTTGCTGCCGATATGTTGGCCTTCGAAGAAAAGATGAAGGCAATGGAAAGGAAGATTGAGGAAACAGGAACAGCAGAGAGAGGAAACAATCCAATTACAGCGAAGCCAAAAGAAGACGAGACAAAATGTAGGTTGGAAACACGGCCGAAATTTGAAGGAAGTGGAGGTTCTGTTCATGTCAAAGTCCCAACTTTCGACGGAAAATCGTCATGGAACGACTACATGAAGCAGTTCGAATCAGCTGCAAGAGCGAATGGATGGTCTGAAAAAGAAAAGGCCGTAAACCTGACTATCGCTCTTCGAGGAGATGCCTTAGATATGCTCCAGACCATAGCCGTAGAGGAGACGGATGATTTCGAACAAAATTTCGACGGCTTAAAAATCGAAGACAAAAGAAAGATGAAGCTCTTCAAGAATATGAGGTAGGTATTGCCAGATTAGTACGATATGCTTATCAAACAGCTCCCGAAGACATGATGGAAAAGTTGGCCGTTCAAACGTTTATTGATGGTCTTCGTGATCATGAAATGCAGAGAACACTACGATTAGCTCGTCACAAGACACTGGTTGATGTCTTATCCGCCACCCTCGAATACGAGTCAGCTACGCAGGCCTCTGGCGGATTCAGTAAAGTTAGGACTGTAAAAGAGGAAGAAGATGAAGATAAACTTGACCAGCTCGTTAATATGATGAAAAGCACGACACACAAGAAAACGAAGACCATAGGACCGAAGACAAAACCAGAACGGGTCGGCCTTAGGGGAGCAGCTTCGACCCAGAACTTTTCCAAAGACCCCATCATACTAATAGCTTCTTTGAAATGTCGTGAAGATAGTGTATGTGTAGATGGAGAAATAAATAGTAAAAAGCATACGTTATTGGTGGATACCGGAGCGACTAGAACCATTATACGCCCGATAGTTATAAACAGCCGTAAGAAACTGTTACCGACGAGGTTGCGACTTCGAACCGCTATTGGTGAAAATTCCAACATTCATGGAGAAATCCAGATACAATTAGGAATTGCAGCAGAAAAGTTCGTCCATACTGTTATAGTTGCTGACATCGAAGAGGATGTTATATTAGGAATGGACGTAATGAATACGCATAGATTCCAATTGGATTTTAAAAATAAGGTAATCAAAGTTGGTAACGAGGAGGTATTTCTCCATCCACATGATGACAACACTATGCAAGCAGCCGTTAAAGAAGATACAGTCGTGCCTGCGAGAAGTGAAACGATAATAGTAGCGCGCCAACAGGGAATTGTGGACGAAGGGACACCTGTTATGATGGAGCCTTGGAACCATGACGACGAAGTCGGCCGTGGAATCATAATTGGAAAGGAATTAGTGACTTCGGCTAAAGAAATTTCTGTGAGACTTATCAATGTCAATGACTACCCAGTGACCATCAAGAAAGAGACAAAAGTAGGAACTTGTGTACCTGTGACATGTGTACCGAAAGGAGGAAAGACGGGAAGAACTACCGTTGTTAAGCATAAAATTGATACTGGTAATGCTAAACCAATTCGTCAAACAGCTAGACAATTCTTCTTCTTTGGGTGCCGTGTCGGTATTCAGACGTTGGCCATCATCATGTTTACAATTTCCTGAAACCTTTGCTGCTGCGCGAAATAATTCTTCTACTGTGGAACCACACCATTGTCTAATATTACGTAGCCAAGTTTCTTTCGACCAATCCATCTCTTTCCTTCTACTTTTCCTTGTATTATAAGGCGAAGTAGATGGTATTTAGGTCCTCTAATTATATGGCCGAAGTATTCTGTGTTTCTCCTCTTTATGGTGTTTATGAGCAGACGTTCTGAATTGATCATTTGAAGAACATCTTCATTGGAAGTGTGCGAAACCCACGATATCTTTAAGATTCGTCTATAGCACCACAATTACGATTACCGATTACCACAGGCGGTTACCACCGGCGAAAAGAGACATCCATAATCCGTCAGACGGCAACGTCTGATAATTCCAACGACAAATTCGACCAAATGGTTGCAGTTGCTGGACAGTCTCTGAATCAGATTGAGAAAAGGAAATTAAGGGAATTTCTTCAGCAGTATCGTGATATCTTCGTACCGAAAGGAGGAAAGACGGAAAGAACTACCGTTGTTAAGCATAAAATTGATACTGGTAATGCTAAGCCAATTCGTCAAACAGCTCGACGATTACCACAGGCGAAAAGAGAGGAAGCTGAAACGATTGTTTACGAAATGAGGAAATACGGGGTAATAGAACCTTCTACAAGCCCATGGGTCTCTCCGGTGGTCCTGCTTAAGAAGAAAGACGGAACAACGAGGTTCTGTGTGGATTACCGTTTTCTGAACAACGTTACCAAGAAAGATAGTTATCCTCTGCCTCGGATCGGTGACACATTGGACACATTGGCTGGAAGTAAATTATTTTCTACTTTGGATTTGAAGTCTGGATCCTGTCAGGGAGAAATGGACCTGGTAGATAAAGAAAAGACAGCCTTCACCACAGGATCTGGATGATGGCAATACAACGTTATGCCATTTGGACTCTGTAATGCTCCTGCGACATTTGAGAGGTTTATGGAAAATGTGTTGAGAGGTTTATCTTGGAAAATATGCCTAGTTTATCTAGATGACATAATCGTCTTGGGATCGACATTTGAAGATCATTTGAGGAATTTAGAAAACGTTTTTAATCGACTTAAAGCTGCCCAATTGATGTTAAACCCCAAGAAGTGCCAGATATTTCAAAGTAAAGTCAATTATCTGAGTCATACAGTATGTAAAGAAGGAGTGGTCGTGGATAAGGGAAAAATCTGGAAATTTTCAAGATTTTTAGATATTTTAAAAAGGAAAAAGAAACAGGGTAATCTATTTGAGATAACAAAGTTGATTATATTTCCATAAAAACGAAAAATTTAACAACGGTATAAATACTGATACAACAATAAGATCCTTTGACGAACCAAAATTTATATATAAATTGTAATTCTAACATCATTGATCCGTTCCATACTTAAGACTCACTCTATATGTATTATCGCCTTGACTTAGCCTAAATGTATGTAACCAACATTTCATTTACAGCAAATTTTGTATTCCACGAACCGGGCTCGATAGGAAATGTCAGTCTACAAAATTCCGAGATTGGATTAGTCAGTCAGTCGGTGATCGGTCTTGGAGAGCTTGACAGTTGCAACTATTATGTTTCTGCTCGTTTCCTCTGATCTTATAATGTAGTTTGGACTTTTAGTGTCGTTTTTTTAAAAATTCATGAATGAAAATTTGTGTTAGAATGCTCTTGGATTAAAAATTAAACATGGTTGAGCTGGATTTCTCTTGTACGGGTAAGTTAACAGCAAAAACTATTAATTTGCTACCACCCTTTAGTGAGGGTATCTATTATTGATATTTTGCATGCTTCCGTGCAAAGAAATTGTTTGTGATCTTAAAATTTAATTTATGAGAATGAAAATGGGTAGTTGCAACGAACCTATAATATTTGTTTGAAAAATTTAATATATTTCCGTCTGAAAGTAAAAGTGTTCAATATTTGTTACAAATTTGATTTATTTGTACAATATATAATAATTCTATGAAAACATGTATCGTTTATAGACATTTCTATAGGCGATAACATTTAGATGACAATATCAAATCCCTCAGTAATGCATTTTAGTCACATTACTTATTTGTTGTTTTCCTCCCTTATGTTTTTTTTCAATTTACAGGTTAATAAATTAAATTAATCTTTATGAAAGCTTTTAAGCAAAACAAATAATATCAGAATGCCAACAGTCTCAAAAACGGGAATAAAATAAGGCAAATATTTCAAATGTGTCTTAAATTATTTTTAGGTTTGTTTTGATATTTTTATCATACATTTTAACTTAAGGCCCAAAAATTTTTAATTCTCTAGATATACTTAAATGTTTTCAATTGAACGTAATTTACTTACTGATGAACAAAAATACACTCTTAACATAAATTAATTAATAATCATAAGCAGGTTTTTAAAAAGGAAAATATTGCAAAAATGAATTAAAAATTAGCTAGAAACTTGTATTGATCTTAGAAGATTTTCCAGGGGTTGACCATATGTTTTGAGTGTGTATGCTGTTAATAAAAGTTAGGTATCTTATTTTTTTGTCAGAGAATAAAATTTTTACTGTTTTCTACTAAATGCAAATTTAAAGTTAAATTTAATAAAAATTGTATTGTACACATTTATAAATTATACATGTGAAAATATAGGGTTTTAAATCTTTAATGGGGGATTAGTTATATTTAGAAGTTTTGAAGATTTATTAATCATTAAAAAGAGGTGCACAAAAATTTATTATATAAAAACATTATGTTTTTCTCTTCCAGTGAAAATGGATGATTTTATTTATTATAAATTTTCCTTATATACATACCTCCTAAACCCTTTAAAACTTTTTTTTGAAAATATATATAAAAAGATAAAGATAAAAACTATATAAAGACAAAAAACTAATAATTGCCACAAAATTGTTCAAAATACCAATTATTGCCATCCACTCATTGCCATAAATAAATAACCACACTTTACTGAAAAATCTTGTTTATTAATAATAAAAATCCAAACCAAAATAATTAATAAAATAATGAAGTCCTCTCATGTAAAATACATGTTGATACAAAAAATAAGAAAAATAAATTGAAATATATATCTATACTAAAATCACAATCAAGATGCACTAGAAATAAACAAACCAAGAAATGTTAAATGTTAAAAGGAGCACTCTTAAATAATCATTTACAATGTATATACATTGTATAAATCCCAAATCATGATTTACAAAGTTTAAACATTGTAAATTATGATTCAGGAGTGTTCCTCATAAGATTCAAGTGTCTTGGTTTGTTACTTTCTAGTGCATCTTTATTGTGATTTTAGTATAGTATTTTCCACAGTTTTTAGGCCTCAAATATATCCACTGGTAAAGCAAATTCATAACGGATCTCTTCACCACTGGATAAAATAATAGGTGTTGGCAGTGTGCCTAAAATACAATTTTCATTAATAAAAAAGATGTCTTTTTCATTGCAAATAAAAATATTCTTTTCAGCACTAATAATAATACTAATACAGGCCTCGAATAATACAAACACATCTGTATGTTATGGATTTTCTTTAATCTCCTATGAATTCAACAAGTACATAGTTTCCCACACTAAGTTCTCCATGAGTTAGTACGCAAAATTTTTTGTTAGGGTCTTCATAAAAGTTTATGTCATCACAGCTTCTACTGCTCTAGACCCACTCTTCATCCTCCATATATTGGTGATGTATTCATAAATTATACTAGAACACCTCCATCCATTATCTGAAGTTCGCAGAGCCCTTTCTTTTGGAATACTTTGTGATACAGATGATGGAATTCTTTCACATGCCAACACAATCATTGGATAGGCAATTGTTCCAGCAGCATTAGCAGTTATATTTAAAACTGTTATATTTTGTATATAAATTTAAACTGAAACTATTAAAGTGAAACTATTTGTCACTGGGACGGCTATGAATAAATGATTTCTCTCTTTCTGTAGAATTCATTATTTTCTGAACTGCATCCAAAAGCTAAACTTGAAATAGCAAAATGTCTTTCTGATAGATATAATATGATAGGCGTAAAATGTAAATCCATTTTACTTGGACTGATTTTTCTTCTTTGGTTAAAATTGTAGAAGGGACAAACTAATGGTGATTTTCCACCCCTCTTATGCCTCAAAGTACTAAGAGGAACATCATGATTTTTTGCTGCAGTAGCTGCTAGGAATCTCTTTTTCACATCCTCTAGAGCTTTAGCCAATTGCTCTTTCGAATAATTCCTTTTAGGTGCCATTTCTGGAATGAACAAAATACTTGTAATACCAAATATTAATGAAACCTATGATTGCCACTTTAAAACCAGTGATTGTCACCACTGGCAATAACTGGTAAAAGTAAAGTTTTTGCAATAAAAAAATTAGTGTCAACACCATAATTTTAAATAGTAAATTTACACATTGTAATGAATTAAAAATTACTTAAACCAATAATGGCTTCTTATTTGTACCTATATCTTTTTGATAATGCTGAGTCTAGAGTGTTCATAAAAATAACATGTGCCTTTACTTAATACAGTGGAACCTCGATTATCCGTCCCTCTATTAACCGTCACCTCTGTTAACCGTCAGGGTCCATACATAAGTTAGATTGAGAACATAAGTAGAAATTTAGTCATCAATTCATTTTGTTTGCAAAAAAATTTCCAGCAAAAACGATTCTTATTTGGACAATCCCATCCTAAAGCCGGTATACTGCAGAGTGACGATAAAAATATCACATACTCTTTTCTGCCTGCGAATACATCATTAATAAAACCAATGGATCATTCGGTCATTAACACATTCAAAAACAGATACAGAAAAAAAAATTATTCAAAACCTAGATAAGGAAGAGTAATATTCTTTGCCAGAATGCTGGAAAGCATACAGTTTAAAACACGCAGTTGACAATGCTGTGGATGCTTGGGCTGATGTTTCGGAAGTAACGCTGAAAAGAGCCTGGAATAAATTATGGCTTGAATCAACTTAAGATGAAAATGCTCCCCTTAAATGAAGTTATGGCTGAATCAACTGTTTTGTTTTCGTTGCCTAAAGATGACATAAACGATTGATTAATTTGTGATTAGGACGTAAACTGATTCAGAAGCCGACTTTGATGGTGGCGATGTTGATTATGCTATTACAACTCACAAAGATTTGCGTAAAGAAGCTAGAGGATCTGCATCGCACATAAAACAATTCATCAAGTGGTATTCTCGGTAAGAAGAAGCGAATAAGGTAGATTTAATGATTTTACGTCGATTAAAAAATTCAGCTGTTGCAAAATGTGAAATAACTGTGGAAGTAACAATAAAACAAATAAAGATTTCGGAATAATTTAAATCAAATTGATTTGACTGTACTAACATAAATCTCTCTTATAATGTAAAATAAAACATACAAATAAAATTTGAGAAGCTATTTTCTTGTGGCATTGTAAATTAATTACTATTAAACTGGTTTAATAGTAATTAATTCAACGATTTCCGAAGTGGAAATTGAAACGTCAATAAACGTATTTTTATCTTTAATTGTGGCTTATTCCCAGTTTAATAGTAATTAAAATTTGAGAGTTATACTATGAATTTTTTTTAATGTTCTGTTAACCGTCTTTTCGATTATCCGTCATACCCTTGGCCCGGTGCCCTGGCGGATAATCGAGGTTCCACTGTAACAGGCTGTAGCTGGTTTGTCTAAGTTTCATGATGCTACTAAGTTTATGACGCACTTGTAAAGAACGATGGACTCAACTGTATACAAGCCTAAGTGATACTATCCTTATGAGCTACCTGTGATTTTAATTCTTTCTTGAAGTTGAACTATTTTTATACTCTTATGTTTTACTTATACTTATATATATTTAAATTTGACTTTTTGAGTTGTCAATTACAGCTACCTCTACAAAACATCAACTTTAATCACTTGTTATTTGCCAAAACTTTTAAGAAATAATAATAAATTTTTTTAATAAATCTACAAGCCACATAGGCGATACCTTTTGTTTCTGGTGTATTTATATACAGTGTGTAAAAGCCAAATGGAATAAATTCATTATTTAGGTTACTGTACATATTTATAAAAAATCCCGAAACACGTCAAATTTAAATTATAACTTGACATTCTTTGACGTGAAAGTGCAACCCCTACCTTCAACCCCCTTAGAATGACAGGTACAACCCCCAATTTTTAAAATAGGAAGTATAGGCTTGTGATATATCATTTGAAAGGTCTTTTCATTCTCTATTCAAAAATGTTGTCTCTTTCAAGTTTATTAAGATTAATTAAGATAAATTAAAATCATGTGGTTACCGAAATTCGCTACAATACAATCAAAAACTAAAATGTATTGCAAAACGTAATTAAATGTAGAACACGAAAAAGAACTATAAATGTTAATGAAGTAGATGTTCAAAATGTTCACCGCGAACGTCTTGGCAACATGCTAATCTCAAATAAAATTGTCTTCTAACATTATTTAACATAACAGGCGTGATCGACCTAATCGCAAGCGTTATTCGTTCTTTTAAGTCATTTAAATCAGAAGGTTTAGTTTTGTACACATGGCTCTTCACATATCCCCATAAGATCAGGTGATCGCGCTGGCCATTCAATCGATCCTCGTTTCCCTATCCACCGATTGGGAAATATTGTATCGAGGTACTGCCGGACATTAAGTTGATAATGTGGTGGTGCTCCATTCTGCTGAAACCATATCGTATTCGCTGGAACTTGAGGGTTTCCTGGATCAGGATATAAATTTGCCAACGTTGGAATGACATCATTTTGAAGTAGTGCCAAATAATCGTTGCCATTCAAGTTGCCCTCAATGAAAAAGGGACCAATGATATTGTTTCCTACAATCCCTGCCCAAACATTAACCTTTTGAGGGTATTGAGTGTGTTCTTCTCTTATCCAGTGAGGATTTTCCGTGGCCCATTAGTGGCAATTTTGCCGATTAGCATGACCGTTAAGTGAAAAAGTACACTCATCAGAAAACATAACGTCTTCTAATTGGATAATATTGTTATCCAACATGTCCATCATTTGCTTACAAAAAAAGTTCTCCTATCAAAATCGTCTTCCATGAGCTCCTGAGTAGGTATCATCTTATAGGGATGCAATTTATTTTCTTTTAATATGTTTACTATCGATGTATGGCTAGCATTGAATGTAGTGGATGCCTGTCTACTCGATGTAGACAAGCAACACATCTAATTTGAGTTCATCACTCAGTGCATTGGCAGCTGCTTTTTTTTATCTATCTTACATTACCAAACTCGTGAAACTGCTCTTCTATTTTACTTATTGTTCCTTGGGATATAGGCGGTAAATTAGGAAATTTCTCATGAAATAGACGAGTTACTTCCTGTTGTGTTCGGGTATTATCTCCGTAACCAATCATTTGTAAAACTGTTATTTTATGCATTTCCGTTAATTTAACCATTTTTCAGAATTGAATTGAACGAACTTTTTACTTAAATTAAAATACTGACAACTTAAATAAAACAATTTACTAATGCGTGTTAAAATAACGTTGCCACGGAAATTCTTTAAAGTTTTTTAATGGTGACCATCTAAAAACCACATTGCTATGATTTTTGTTCACTTTCTCATTATCAAGACCTAAATGGGAAATAAGTTTTGAGTATAATTTAGCGAATTTCGGTAACCACATGATTTTAATTTATTTTATCTTAATTAATCTTAATAAACTTGAAAGCGACAACATTTTTAAATGGAGAATGAAAAGACCTTTCAAACGATATATCACAAGCCTATACTTTCTATTTTAAAAATTGGGGGTTGTACCTGTGATTCTAAGGGGGTTGAATTTTTACGTCAAAGAATATCAAGTTATAATTTAAAAATGACGTGTTTCGGGATTTTTTATAAATATGTACAGTAACCTAAATAATGAATTTATTCCATTTGGCTTTTACACACTGTATAGTTCCTATATAAAAGGTATAATAACCAAATAATACACACACGAAATAAAATAAATCTTTTATCCTACTCCTCTGACAGAAAACTAGTCTATTCTAATCTATTCTGAGTCTATTCCTGAAGAATAATAATTATATTATATTGTAATTAAAGCCTGCATTCTTTTGCTATAGACCATTTTCCCCTTAATTCTTAGACATTTTGTCTCCTTGATCTGCTTACACTTCAATGGTGATTCAGATACATAATTGCATTTTGAATATTACTAAAATTGTGACTCACTCTGCAGGATTTTTAATTAAAAGAAAAACCACTTATAAAATTGATTAAATACGAAAAGCATAATGTTAGTGGGCACTTTAATGACTATATTTTAATGCATAAGTATTTATAGACTCGGTAATATAAAGTTTATTCATATATTTAAATTCCTTGTTGTTATTGATGATTTGTTATTGCAAAAATTAGGTAGATATTTATGTATAGTTTTAAAAAGTATTAACGTAAGTAATTAAATAAATAATAAAATTAAATGAACAACAAACAAACTTTAGCCCAAGTAGAACTGACTGGCTGTCTAACATCTGAAGTGATATTTGGTTCACATAAGGTTAAATATTTAGAGCTAGCCATGCTCTGGGGTATATTTCCAAAAATGCTTGGATAAGAGCGAGGGTGCCGTTTATTCCGAAACCAGAAACAACAGATTGCACCTTAGCAAAATCTTATCAGGCCAAGTCGCACTTTATTCATGTTGAAAAGTATGGAAAACATTTGAATGAATACATCACGAAAAACAATCTTAATAAACAAGCATAGTCGCTCTTGCTGCATTTTTAAACATCGAAAGTCATAGTCATCATTTGGCTCTACAACTCTATGTGAGTCTTGATCGCGTTTACTATTTCCCTCCATTGTTGTCGGTCCTGAGCAACTATTTCCCATTGCTGTATTCCCATTTTGCGTAGATCACTGGCTACTGCGTCCTTCCATCTCTTTCCTGGGCGACCAACTGACATTCTGCTATCGGGCTTTTCCCAGAATGTGGCGTTCAGGAGTCTTTCGTTACTCGATCTTAGTCCGCCAATCTGGCCTGCCCATCTTATTCGGTTTGCTTTAATGTCGCATACTATGTTTTCATCTCCATATAGTGTCTGGAGTTCATGATTGTGCCTTCTTTTCCATTCTCCTGTTGTCTCTTCCCTGCAAGGCCCATAGATAGTCCGCAGTATCTTTCTTTCCAGTACCAGTAATTTTGTCGTTTCCCGCTGATTCAGAGTCCATGTCTCGCTTTCATACGTTATTGTGGGACGAATTATTATCTTATACACTCTTATTTTTGTTAGTATTGAGAGTACATATTTTTGATTTAAGTACGGCCATTAATGAGTAATATACTTTGTTTCCTGCAATGATACTGGCTGCCACGCCCTTTTCATATTTATTTTCAGATGTTATGATCGCTCCCAGGTACTTGAATTATTTGCAAAGTTGTATTCATTGATTGTTACGTTTTCTCGATTGGCCCAAGGCCAAGGTTTCCCTTGGCCTTGGGTGCTTCATAACCATCATGTACTTGGTCTTGTCCTCGTTGATCTTCAGACCAACTTCCTTGGCTCCGTTTTCGAATAGGGTGAAAACTTCTTTTGCATCTCTGGTGGATTTTGCAATTGTAACCACGTCATCCGTAAACGCCAATAGTATTTTTGATCCTTGGGCGGCAAATCCATTTGTCAGTTGTGGTTGAGCTTTCCTTACCGCATGTTCCAGTGCAAATAGGTGCACCGAAGGTGCATTTGATAATACCTTCATCGAGTCAATACATAGTGCACTGATGAGGAAGAAAATGAACAACATGACAAGCAAGTGGATTATTCAGATGCTTCATAGCAGATTAATATCCACAGATACGTATGAAGGTGTCATAAACCTAAGGGCAATTAAGGGGTGTCCCCAAGGAGATGTATTATCACCAACATTATAGTCGTTGACTACCTGATTCATGGGATTAGCAGCTAAGTAATCTAGATCCAGCGTTTCGCAGACGATATTATAACAGTGACTAACAAATGTGATATGACCTTCATTTTATAGAGAATTGGTATCTGAAAGAGAATCTTCTAAAACTGAACTAATAATCTCTAAGAGGAAGCTTATTGGATTGAGTGGGCTGAAATTATTTGGGGAAGAACTAGAAATAACTAATGAGTTAACATTGTTACGCTGTATTCCAAATCCACTTGGAACACTCGTATTAACAATATAATTTCTGGAAATGCAGACGAGTTGTAGGTAAAACCTGAGGGCTGAAACCGAAGGTAATCTGAGGGTTGTACATATCAGTGATACGACTGACAGGTATATATGGTTCAGTACTTTGGTGGAAAAAGACGGGTTTGCAATCTTGTGTTTTCTAAATGACAGGAGCGTCTAAATGAGGGGAGCCTTGAATAATACAGGAACAGCACATTTAGAGGCTATCACAGGTCTCCTCCCTCTGGAATTATATATTTTGGCGGTAGATTTATTGACCATCTTAAGACTTAAAGCAAACAATACTTGGAGGCCGAATAATGTATTGAATAGTAGTAAAAATACCACTGACGTAGAGTCTAGTTTTGTTCTACACTTTTTCCCATCGTAAATCCCTTCTTTGGTCTGTCTTGTTGCCTTGTATTACTTCTTCCGTTATTAGCCGGTCTCCCGCTTTAAGTTCTTCCTTGAGGGTGATAATAGTTTTGATAATGGTTTTTGCAATGGTAACGTATGGTCAATTTTTTTTCTTTGTGTCTTTTAATTGTGGTTATTATTTTTTACTGTTCTGTTTTATGTCACAGTTTGATATTCATAATTTTATTTGACCAGCAACTGATGGTTATCTAGTTATTAGTGATAATTCTAGATTCGTAATCCAATGACTGTTAAAAAAACAGCAGTGCAGAAGAAAAATTAAGTTTCCATTTAACCTTTATTTTTCAGCTCTACAATTTTTAGAGGATGTTATCCATATTTATGAGGTAAAGATTGCACCATAGTTTTTGTGTAAATATTTGTCTCCCTTTTAACGAATTTTTCGACAAGATCGTTAGGCGGGAATATGTTTGTTAGGTATTATTGCCAGGAAAAAGTATTACCAATACAGTTTGTGATTTCATTATTTCGTTATTTTTGTATATTGATGTTATCTTCTTCTTTCATTGCTCTCTCCTACTGAAGGTTGGTGATCTTATAAATTCCTCGCTGCTCTACACATGTAAAAGTGATTTATCCAGTCCACTGTCGGATGTTGTTATACCAAGACATCTTTTTTCGACCTATATCTCTTTTTTACTGAATCTTCCAATGATAATTAACTGTGCTATATGATATTTGTTATTCTCTGCACATTCTTCTCCTTGAGGTGTCTTTATGTTTACAATTTTATGAAACGTTTCTCTATCGGCTGCTGCGCGAAATAATTCTATTGTGGCACCACACCTGTACAAAAAGGGGTGAACATATGTGAAATTATTAATATAATTTATTAATATAATTATAATTAATATAATTTAGCTAATCAAGTTTATAAAAAGTCTTACCAATACTGCTGATGCACACACCCCTGGTATTTATAGGCTTTCACTTGCGGTTATTCCTCGTACGGTAGAAGCTGTCTTTACCGGTTTCTAAACAAGTGTCTCGCGGTACTAACACTAAGATCAAAAGATAAAGCACATTGGCGTCTGTATACGATTCAAAAGAGGATTCGCGGTATTTTTCGAGTATATAAGCTAGAGAGAATTTCTGTTACTAGCGGCAGTCAACAGTCGAGAGAGAGAGAGGACCTGTGGGTCTGTTGCCGGCGAAAGTTAACAGCCTTGAGAGCAAGTCTGTTGCTAGTGACGGTCAGCAGTAGAGAGAGAGATAGAGAGAAAGAGTACGTCTGTTGCTAGCGAAAATCACCAACCAAGAGAGAGTTTTTTTTGCTATTTTAAAACTATCTGTATTTCTAAAGGAGTGGATTTGAAGTGGGTAGAAAGTATTACCAAGGGTTGGACTAGGTTAATAATGTTATATTTGAGGTAGATAATGATAGTCATTAATACAGCGTAAAATGACATGGTTTGTCGCATGTGAAAAATTGAACAACACCATTGCGTAATATGACGCAGCCATGAACGTTTCTTTCGAGCAATTGTAACGATGGCATTACCAGAGCTTGCCGCCGGCTTGCCATCTCTCTGTACGCATTCCCACCGACAACCTACCACTACCAGCGTTGACAGCTGGAGATGGAACACTGGCAAATTTTACACACATTTTAAACAATTTCAAGCGAAAATTATTCTCGTTCCCCGATTTTGTAATTTTTGCAACATGTTTAGTTTCTTAAGATTAAATAAAATAAAAATTTTGATAGTATACAAGGCAACTATCGAACCCAGTGATTAATTAAATCTTGCCCAAGTACTTTCGATCAATAGATCATCTTCAGGGGCATCTGAAATAAGCCAAGAAACGTTTTTTTATAAGAAGGAAAATTAATTCACTTGGATAAAAAACTCCAAGTTTATGGTTGAAAAAAGTTTTTATGTGATAAACGTTTATAGACTTACTTCGTCAGTTGTGGCCTATCCGACATGAGTAGAATGTCATACATGTAAAGTTGGACATAACAATACAATACACAAAGACAAACAAACACTTTAAAATTTTTAAAAAGGAGAAGCTACATGTTATATAGAAACCGGAGACAGAATGGGCTCCCGGTCTTGCGGAAATATTGAGATGACCTGTGACAAATGACAGCTTGTAAAGGGCAGTTATGTGATCTGCACCTTTCAAAATTCTATGAAACTAAGTATTGACCAAAGGTCCAACTGACACCACTATAGGAAATCAACTGATGAAATATAAAATTAGTATATTTGTATGTAGATTGAATAATCCAAATCTCACACTCAAACCTGTCTATAATAATTAGGATGTTAGTTTGAGAGCGATTGAAGTTGACATAAAGTATGAATGTAAGAAAAGACTAAACAATATATTAGACAGTGGATGGTTGACTACAATAAAATGGTCCACCAAGCGCTATCAGTACTGTAAAAAAGGAAAAATCTGAATATGCAGTTAAATTACTAAAAGTTAAAATCAAAATTGAAAGCAAAATATATAAATGTGTTATAATCCAAGTAGTTCAGTTGAATCCACAGTCAATTAAATACATTTTTTAAAATCTTTATAAGCCCTGTCACACTGTTTAATTTGTTTAAACACCAAATTTGGTTGAAACTGATATGTTACAATTGGTGTTATGGCATTGATTACGTTTTCACAATTTTGCGAAACTTCCTGGTAAATGATATTAACATTATTATCCAGATTTAGCCATACGGCTCACCTCCCTCTAAGGGGAAAATTCACTCATCCCAGATACCTACGGTATCAAAAGGATTGAGCTCTGGTGGGACTCTTTCATGTTATCGAGTCCTAGGTGACTTGGTACGTCGGTGTATCTCCTAAAAATTTTCGCACGCATCTAGACGTCGAAAGTAGCACAGCTTTCTGCATGACCTTATATAGATGTTCATTTAGACCCAGCTTTTTTATGTTTTCTAGGAGGTTCTTCGGAATGACTCCAGTGGTAGAAAGAATAATCGGTATTGTCTGGGTACTTTCCATTCACCATTGTCTTCTTATTTGTATTTCCAGATCTCTGTACTTGGCGATCTTTTCGTTGTACTTAACACGCAGATTATTGTTGTTAGGTATCGCCACATCGATTAGAGTTGTTTGTCTTGATAGTTTATTAACTAGCACGAGATCTGGTCTATTATGTGCTACAGTTTGGTCTGTGAGCACAGTACGATCCCAGTATAGCTTGTAGTTGTCATTCTCAAGCATACTCTCTGGAACGTATTGATAATATGGGAGATGGTTTGTTTGTAGAAGTCCCAGTTTAATAGCTATCTCTTGATGGAGGATCTTCCCTACTGAGTCATGCCGTTCCTTATATTCAGTTGCAGCAAATGCCTGGCAGCCTCCGGTAAGATGTTGGACCGTTTCTTGGGCTTGGCATCCATATCGGCATTTGTCGTTTTGGACCTGAGGGTCTTTGACAATATATTTCAGGTAATTTTTGGTTGGTATAACCTGATCTTGAATGGCGAGTAATGAACCTTCTGTTTCAGGGAACATCTTTCCTGATGTCAGCCAATAGTTCGACGCTATATTGTCGACATAGTCTTGACCGACTTCATTCGGATGTCGCCCGTGCAGAGGTTTACCCATCCAGATGCGCATTTTTTCGTTCTTAGTAAGATGGTTTATGCGCATTTCTTATTCCCTCAGGTTAATCGGTGTTGTGTCATCTACTGCGCAAATCGCGCGATGAAGAGTAGATGTCTCCGCCTGCACCTGAAAATAAGTTCTTAAATTATTAATCTGTTTATCTAATTGCTCGCTTATATCAATAAGTGCTCGTCCTCCTAAATACCGTGTTAATGTCGTTCTTTCTACTGCACTTCGAGGATGGTGTTTTTGTGCCTTTGTGAGGTGTGTTCGTACTTTTCTCTGAAGACTTTCTATATCCGTTTTAGTCCATTTAATAATGCCAAATGAGTAGCTAAGCGCGGAAAATGCGTAGGTGTTTAATGCCTTAAACAAATTTTTACTATTAAGATGTGAGCGGAGTAGCTGTTTTACCCTTCGTATGAACTCTGATGTTAATTCGATTTTCATTTGTTTATGATCAATTTTCCGCGCTTGCTTTACTCCTAGATATTTATACATGTCATTTTCGCCCATAGCCTCGATGTTTTGGCCATTTTGCATGTCGAATCCCCCGGGCTGAACCTTTCCCTTGACTATATTTAGTACACGACATTTGTCTAACCCAAAGTGCATACTGATATCATTTGAAAAAGTTTCCACAGTTTTTAGCATTTGATCTAAGTGATTTCGAGTGGAAGCCATTAGGGAAGACATTATTATTATTATTCCAGATTTAGCCATACGGCTCACACTCCCTCTAAGGGGAAAATTCACTCATCCCAGATACCTACGGTATCAAAAGGATTGAGCTCTGGTGGGACTCTTTCCATGTTATCGAGTCCTAGGTGACTTGGTACGTCGGTGTATCTCCTAAAAATTTTCGCACGCATCTAGACGTCGAAAGTAGCACAGCTTTCTGCATGACCTTATATAGATGTTCATTTAGACCCAGCTTTTTTATGTTTTCTAGGAGGTTCTTCGGAATGACTCCAGTGGTAGAAAGAATAATCGGTATCGTCTGGGTACTTTCCATTCTCCATTGTCTTCTTATTTGTATTTCCAGATCTCTGTACTTGGCGATCTTTTCGTTGTATTTAACACGCAGGTTATTGTTGTTAGGTATCGCCACATCGATTAGAGTTGTTTGTCTTGTTAGTTTATTAACTAGCACGAGATCTGGTCTATTATGTGCTACAGTTTGGTCTGTGAGCACAGTACGATCCCAGTATAGCTTGTAGTTGTTATTCTCAAGCATACTCTCTGGAACGTATTGATAATATGGGAGATGGTTTGTTTGTAGAAGTCCCAGTTTAATAGCTATCTCTTGATGGAGGATCTTCCCTACTGAGTCATGCCGTTCCTTATATTCAGTTGCAGCAAATGCCTGGCAGCCTCCGGTAAGATGTTGGATCGTTTCTTGGGCTTGACATCCATATCGGCATTTGTCGTTTTGGACCTGAGGGTCTTTGACAATATATTTCAGGTAATTTTTGGTTGGTATAACCTGATCCTGAATGGCGAGTAATGAACCTTCTGTTTCAGGGAACATCTTTCCTGATGTCAGCCAATAGTTCGACGCTATATTGTCGACATAGTCTTGACTGACTTCATTCGGATGTCGCCCGTGCAGAGGTTTACCCATCCAGATGCGCATTTTTTCGTTCTTAGTAAGATGGTTTATGCGCATTTCTTGTTCCCTCAGGTTGATCGGTGTTGTGTCATCTACTGCGCAAATCGCGCGATGAAGAGTAGATGTCTCCGCCTGCACCTGAAAATAAGTTCTTAAATTATTAATCTGTTTATCTAATTGTTCGCTTATATCAATAAGTCCTCGTCCTCCTAAATACCGTGGTAATGTCGTTCTTTCTACTGCACTTCGAGGATGGTGTTTTTGTGCCTTTGTGAGGTGTGTTCGTACTTTTCTCTGAAGACTTTCTATATCCGTTTTAGTCCACTTAATAATGCCAAATGAGTAGCTAAGCGCGGAAAATGCGTAGGTGTTTAATGCCTTAAACAAATTTTTACTATTAAGATGTGAGCGGAGTAGCTGTTTTACTCTTCGTATGAACTCTGATGTTAATTCGATTTTCATTTGTTTATGATCAATTTTCCGCGCTTGCTTTACTCCTAGATATTTATACATGTCATTTTCGCCCATAGCCTCGATGTTTTGGCCATTTTGCATGTCGAATCCCCCGGGCTGAACCTTTCCCTTGACTATATTTAGTACACGACATTTGTCTAACCCAAAGTGCATACTAATATCATTTGAAAAAGTTTCTACAGTTTTTAGCATTTGATCTAAGTGAGTTCGAGTGGAAGCCATTAGTTTCAAATCATCCATATACAACAGATGATTAAGCTTCGCCACTACAGTGTTGTTGTTTTTAATGCTAAAACCTGAGTCAGTGGAGTTCAATAGTTGGGATAGTGGGTTCATCGCTAGACAGAACCACAAGGGACTTAGCGAGTCTCCTTGGAAGAGGCCGCGGTTAATTGCGATATTTTCCGTTTCGATATTGTTTTCACCAGGTATTTGGAGGTGAATTTTAGTCTTCCAATCTGTCATTATATGTCTTAAGAAGGTCACTATATTATCATCGACTTTATATATTCTTAATATATTTACCAGCCATTCATGCGGCACTGAGTCAAAGGCTTTCTTATAGTCAATAAAAGCAGTGAAGAGGTTCCTTTTTTTGGTGTATGCCTGGTTAGAAATGACTGAGTCGATAATAAGTTGTTCTTTGCAACCCATGCAGCCCTTAGCGCATCCTTTCTGTTGAGGTTCTATGATATTGTTTAGAGCGCAGTGTTGGTAGATACGCTGGGCTACACAGGATGTGACCAATTTATACAGAGTTGGAAGACACGTAATTGGGCGGTATTTGGCTGGATCTTGGGTGTTATTTTGATCCTTCGGTATTAAATAAGTTGTTCCCTGAGTTAGGAATGATGGTATTTCCTGCGGATTAGAAATAACACGATTAATTAATGTCGACAGGCACTCATGAGCACTCCAGAACTTCTTAAGCCAGAAGTTT